GTGTCTGTGTGAGAGAGAGAGTGTGCGTGTGTGTGTGTGAGAGAGAGTGTGTTTGTGTCTGTGTGTGTGATCTTTGCCATAGGAAACTCTTTAATGAAACAGAGCAGACAAACCCTGATAATCAGTGTGTATCAGTGTGTGTATCAGCTGCATTGAAGCTGTATTGGAGCTGCATTGAAGCTGCATTAAAGCTGCATTGAAGTTGTATTGAAGCTGTATTGAAGCTGCTTTGAAGCTGTATTGAAGCTGCATTGAAGTTGCATTGAAGTTGCATTGACGCTGCATTGAAGCTGCATTGAAGCTGCATTGAAGTTGTATTGAAGCTGTATTGAAGCTGTATTAAAGCGGCATTGAAGTTGTATTGAAGCTGCATTGAAGTTGCATTGAAGTTGCATTGACGCTGCATTGAAGCTGCATTGAAGCTGTATTGAAGCTGTATTGAAGCTGCATTGAAGCTGTATTGAAGCTGTATTGAAGCTGTATTGAAGCGGCATTGAAGTTGTATTGAAGCTGTATTGAAGCTGTATTGAAGTTGCATACAGCGCTTTCACTGGTTTTTGCATGTTGAGTGAACCAGCTGTTGACCAGCTGTGAACCAGCTGATGCAACTCCCTCGCTTCACCTTCTCCTTCCAAGCACAAAGGAGAAACTGCAGTGGCTGCAAAATACACACTGTGACTTATGTCCCTATCCAGATCCAGTCTTTGGTTTGTCCGGTCTGGGCTACTGTAGAAACATACTCATCAACATACATATAGTTTCCTGTCTAGTCTTCTGACTCAGAGTGCTTTTACACTACGTGCGACATTCACCCTTTCACACACATTCACCCTTTCCCACACATTCAGTCACTGATGCATCAGGAGCAATTCAGGGTTCAGTATTTTGCTCAAGAAAACTTCAACATGTGGCGGGAGGAGCCGGGGATTGAACCAACAACCTTCCGATTAGTGGACGACCCGCTCTTGGAAAGAGTTTTGTACCCTGCGCTATAAGAGCGTTAAACTCACAGACAAGTTAACAATGTCACTCCTGTGTTATATGTGTAGATATGTGTATATTCGTGGTCTGTATATGTGTAGCCTCAATGTTAGTTTTGTGTGTAGAATTCATGCGTCGAAGATGGCTCTTTGTAGAGACTGTGAAAACAAATTTCCTCCAGTGAGGACAATAAAAAGAATGAATCTGAATCTGAATCTGAATCTTCCTCTGAGCCTCTGAGGAGAGACCTTGTTTGACTTAAACCATCAGACAGGTGCTCCGATAGCTCACCTGAGTGTGTGCACTGTGTACTAAAGTGGCCCGGGTTTGATTCCAGTCTGGACTGTTCTAACTCTCTTTCAATAAAAAAATCAAAAAACAACAAACAACAAAAAATGTCAAAATTGTCTGAAATCACTTTGTGTTCATTTCACATCGCAAACTTCAACACACCCACCTTCCACGCAACGAAGACCAGGTGAGCCCAGGTGAGACAGTTTTTGTGTCTCATTACTTTATGTGAATGATTTGAATTTAAACCAAACAGTTATTAAAGCTCCAGTGTTGTGTCACATTACTATAATATCTATAGGTGTTTTTAATAATAGGACTCATTGTGTGTTTATATCTCAGAGGGAGTGCCTCCTCTTCTGGCGGAGTCCGCCATGTTGGACCTCCTTGTTTTGTGTTTCTTCATGCTTTGTGTTGTGTGTGTATTTTTTGTCTCTGTGATCGTTGTGTGTGATCTCATCGTCCTTTTGTCCACTGTTGTTACTGCAGCATTATATGACCTCTGGTAGTCACTGATGGAGCTACGTGCGACCACAAGCTATCACAGTGGCTCTGGCTGCGTCGAATGTTTGACAGTCTCTGATCTGTCTATGTACGGAATGACCTTTACACTCGGTCCATCTCTACATCTAGTTCAGGTTCAGGTGATGTGGACAAAAGGAAAACCCCATGGACCCTGTTTTATAAGTCAGGCTGTCTGTAGCTGTTTGTCCATGTGACTGCAGACCAGCACCAGGACGGATCCAGGAGGGCCTGATGTTGTTCAGCCTGTATGAGGGGTAACCTTCAGTAGATATTAGGTGTATTAATAATAATAATACTAATATTAGATGTATTAATAATAATAATACTAATAATATTAATAATAATATTAGGAGTATTAATAATAATAATAATAATAGGTGTATTAATAATAATATTAGGTGTAACAATAAAGGTCTGCAGTCAGCAGAGTCTCTCTGTACCGGCTGCCGGCGCCGGCGGTCCTCATGTCTCTGATTTAAATGATTTGTCTCAACGCGATGAACTGTCTCCCCTCCAGCTCACCTGTCTATCTACCTGTCTGTGTTTAAGGCGCTGTGTTAATGAAGAGCTGCGGGTGGGGCACATTCATCCTCACTACAGTGTGTGTGTGTGTGTGTGTGTGTGTGTGTGCGCAGCACTTTCCATTATCTGGCCCTCATCACCTCGTCTCCACCAGAGATCCTGACAGCTGACTGGACGTCAACCTGTCAATCAAAACCAACGACCTCGCACTGCTTTACCTGTCTGTCTGTCCGTCTGTCTGTCTGTGTGTCCGTCCATCTGTCGACACACAGACGGACAGAGATGTTAATGGCTGACTGTCAGTCTTTACCATCATCCTCTCCTGACAGGAATACCAATCATCTTTGAGAGTGTGTGTTACAGTGAGAGTGTATCAGAGTGTGTGTTACAGTGAGAGTGTATCAGAGTGTTTGTTACAGTGAGAGTGTATCAGGGGACCCACAGACCATTGGATATCATCAGTATTCAGAGACAGACGACTCCACTCTCCACAGATTGTGTCTCACTGCACACACACTGTTTATTAGTGTGTGTGCAGTGAGACACACACACTGTTTATTACAGTAATCTCACTGAAGTGGCATCCATCATGGATCTCTGACTCACTTTAACTCATATTCATATTTATTAGTGCTGTGTTATACATAACATATATATGGATGTAGTTTCTGCCACCCGGGGGCCATACAAACAATAACAAAACAGGAAGTGTGATG